TAAATATTGCTTCTGTGTGGCATCCAAAGAAAAGCAGGCTCATAAAAACATTAGTGTGGCCTCATCCACACTAGATTTGGCACTATGTGACTTCTGGCTCTTCCCCAAAGTCAAAATGATCATGAAAAGTAAAGGGTTTGAATCTATTCAGGACATCAAGGCAGCCACAACAGTGATAGCTAAAGAGGCTCAGGGAAGAGAACTTTCAGAACTGCTCCAGAAAGTGGCAAGAAAGATGGGATAAGTGAGTTCCAAGTGAGGGAAGTCTTTTGCAGTAGATTAATGGCAATGTATTTTTTACTGTAACATATTTTTAAAAATTTAAACATTGACCATATTTGTCGATCATATGTCTTATGTACTGCTGCTTAATCCAGGAAGTTGACGCTAAGTCATTGTTTGGCTTTGCTACTTAGGTGATTAGGAGATTAGAGGCAACAAACCAAAGAGAAGGGCGGAGGCTGATTGTAAAGATCTGTTACAGCAGGGAAGAGTGATCCCTGAGAGCCCCTTAGCAAAGTGATAACAAGCAGACATGGCATGTTACTGGCTTGACCACGAAGTGCTGGGCAGAGAGCCCGACGGATGGACTGCGCTGCGCATTGTTGTAACATCCTTCCATGGGCCACGGGGCTTACATCAGATTCTTAAACTCTAAAATGCTGACACCACGGTGCCAAGAACAGATAAATTGTATTCTAATACTCTTTGAGAATACAATTCTACCAAAATCTAAAATATTTCAAGTCCAGAGAAAGAAATTATAGCTATCCAGAAAAGATTGCTGCCTAGCATGGTGTTATAATCTGGATTGACCAAGTTTCATCAAGAACATACAGTTTAGACTTTACATAAAGCTTTCTGAAGCTAAGAAAGTGAATATAAAGTGTTCTCATCATGAAAATAATAACAATGGGAGGTGTTGCATGTGTCAATTAGCTAGATGTAGTCGTTCCATAATGTATATAAGGATCTCAAAACATCATTATATAATAAATGCATTTAATTTTATCTATCATTTTTAATCTAAAATTTATTAATAAGTTATTCTGTATTCTTGTTTCTATCACCTTTGGAATCTCAGTCCAGATACAAAATTTTTAACAGAAATATTTGATCTCTATTTAGAGTTCATAAAATGTATAATTCAAAAAGTGGATTTACATGCTCACATTGTCCTAAACATACTCAAAAGTTTTTCAGTAACATAATCAAGAACCAAAAATACATCTTCATGCAATATTCAAATCTACATTCACAAAACTGGTTCATTTCTTTAGAAGAATTGATTTGATCTTGAAGCAAAGTATCGCAGTTTCAAAGCTCTGTCTATCCAAGTTTAGTAAGTTCCCTAACTCTGTCAACTCATTAATATTAACACTGATTTCAAAAGACTATTACATAAATCAATAACACTAACAGAACATTTCTCAAATTTTACTTGCAATTTTGTAGTGAACTGTAGCCCTATCAATTTAAAATAAAATCTTTGGCATATTATTTTAGAAAATATACAAATTCAAAATTAATGGTTTCTGTTATGAAAAGTTTCCATTTGAACACAAATATTTGTTATGTTCTATATTGTGTTCCTTGAGACACATTGGGATCTTAATCTCCAGTATCTCAGAATGTGACGTTTACCTGGCAATAAAATCTTTACAGAGATAATCAAGTAAACAGGTCCTGATGGGACTGGTGTCATCATAAGAGTTTGCACACAGAGATAGACACATGGGGACAAGACACATAGGGTGAAGGTTATTATGTACAAGGCCATGGGTGTGTAAAGGAGCTGGAAGCTATAAGGCTAGGACAGATCCTTCCCTGGAAACATTAGAGGGTCTGTAGCCCTGTATACACCTTGATTTCAGATTTTTGGCCTCTAGATCTATGGATAACAATACTAGGAAATTAATATAATACTTCTACAAAGAAGTCACAAATAAATTTTTCCTTTTATTGAAGCCTGAAATTAAGCTTTTCCATATGCACTGTGAACACTGATGAGAAAATGGAAACCATGCTGCCAAACTTTTGTCTTTGATTACTCAATATTTGGCAAATATTTTTTTCGTTTCAAGAAGAGTTTGAATTAGAGACTCCATGACTTAACCAAGGAGTACTGGCACAGAGCTCAAGATCATTTCTTTCTTTCAATAGTTCCATAAATTGGTGATGATTTATAGCATTTGCAGAATTTATATTGCTTTGAGAGAAAGCCTATTACATACCGAAAATGTAAGAAAATAACTCCATGACAGCATTCTGTTCCGGGCTGCAGTGTGATCTAGATAAAGCTTTTGAGTTAGGCCTGCCTGGGGATTATTCTCAAATCCAGACTTCCTCTAGATTCCTTTCTGCAGGAAACATGGAATATTGTTTTCCTCACAGCTTCACTCGGGGATTATTTTAGAACATTTAGAAACTCCAGACCAGTTCCTGGCACACACTTAGTAAGTGTTAGTTGGCTTCCTCTTTCCTGAGGGACTTTTCAGACACTATCTATTCAAATGAACTCTGGTGGCTTTTAGTCACACTCTCTGGCTACATTCCTACTTTCTCATTTCACACTGTGTTCACAGCAAACTCACTCATTCTGGCATACATTAACTTGTGTGTAAAAATACTGTACAAAACGGTTAGCCATACTTGTCTGATGGGTGGGACTCCACAAAATACCCAGCAAAGGGACAATAAATTCGGGGTTGCAGGTCCTTCACCAGCTGAGCCTTATAATTCAGGAGCTTCTTCCTTTCTGTTTTAATGAACTGAGCTTTCCATTCCTCTGAAACGACAGGATTTGGGTTAGAGACTCCTGTATTCAGAAATCACAGAAAAGCAAATGCTTTAGTAGACTGGAATTTGTTCAGGAGATCAAATTAAGACAAAGAAGGCAGAAATAGAGTAAAGCTTTGTGTCGTTAGTAGAGGACATCTGCCTAGCTTTATTCTGCAGCTTTTAGGTGGTTACTAAGAAAATGTTAGCAAATCAGCCCAAAGTACTGAGCTCTCTCCTTGTTTATGATAATTTGTTTTGGACCCTAGCTGAATACACAAGCTATGCATGGCTGTATCCCATGTGCAAGTATATCTTAAAGGCATTGTAATTCTTATAATTACCTTTTATTAATACATTAATACATTATTAATACATTAATAATGACTAAAATCTTAGTGTAGTATAGAGTAAAAATTATTCCTCAGCACCTGACAGTGGAAGGTATTGAGGAGCATAGACTTGTAGGTTAGACACACTTAGAATCAGAGTCCTGCCCCACCATTACTGGCTGTGCTGTACTGGGAAAACTACCAAAGTTCTCTTCATCTGCTTTCTCTTCTACAATATGATGCCTACCACCCAAGGTGGTCATTCACCTGTTTATTCTATCAACCGATATTTATCGTAGGTCTCCTATGTGCCAACCACGGTTGGTTGTAGGCACTAAGAATACAGTCATGAACAGGACAAAGCAGGTCTCCGCTCTCATGAAGCATACGCTGTAGCAAGAGAGGCAAAGAATGGATATGGAGATGAAGTCATTGCAAAGAGTGATGTGCTATGAAGAACACAAAAAAGGGCAAAGGGCAGAGAGTGTCTGGGGTGAGGTGGACTAAGATAGAGGAGTATCCCTAGACAGGGTGGTCAGGGAGCACAGGGCAGTGGAGTAGAGACACAGTTGAAAAGTTGCCAGCTCTTTGGAGTTTAGGGCAAGAGGAGTCTAGGAAGAGGAGCAGTGGGTGCAAAGGCCTGGAACAAAAGCTCAAGGCACAGTGAGTCTGAGGAAGAAAGAACAGCCAGTGTAGGTGGGGAGAGCACATCGTGGAAGTCAGGCAGGAAAGGAAGTCAGGGAATGAGGCCAGACCAGAGTGGACAGAGCACAGAGCCAGGGAGCTGCTAGGTATTATGATTATTCCTGTGAAAATTTGATAAACACAGATAAGGACAGAAAAATAAATGTTACTCATAACCAAAACACAATTACTGTTAACACTTTAAAACATTCCAGAGCTTTCTTTTAACACACACACACACACACACACACACACACACATACTGGAATTCTGCTAGTTAACCTTGAATAAATAAATTAAATATATATATATTTTCTTTTTTTTGGTACTGGGGATTGAACTCGGGTCCTTGCACTTGCACAGCAGGCAGTGAAACCACTGAGCTAAATCCCCAGTCCAGTATACTTTGCCTATCCACTCACACAGTTAACTTCTTAAGGACAGAATTATTCCTCTATCTGGAAAGTTACGTATTCTGGAAGGCAATGAATGTATAGTTAGAGAAGAAAGCAAGGGACCAGACAGAGGTGACTTCACCCTGCAAGGAGGGGATTTCTGCCACACTTCAGACACGGATCACTTATGAACACTGTGATTTATTCGTTGGAAATAGCGAGCACTTACCATGCTCAGGTAGGGATACCAAATGAATGAAAAGCACCACTTACACATTTTCCTCACGACAGTCACAGCACCATGTTCAGGTCCAAAGTGGAAGGGCTCTTGCCTGGGGCCCACCTTTTAGGGTGTGCCGCTCCCTTGCTAAGCATCGTGCAGGACCGACCGGCTGTACCCTTGTTGAGTTGCACACACCTCATGCTGGACCACATTCAAAGCAAATTTGCATCTGGATCACCATGACCTCCTTTCTTGATCTGCCTTAGGGTTCACACCACGAACTCATATGATCCTTTTCCCTGGGCTCCACCAGAGGCTCTCCCTGATCTCAGTGCTTTTTTCTGTTCCACCATCACATTTTGAGCTGGAAACTTTAGTTTACAAAAATTGTGGTTTAAAAGTCTGGTTTCCCCATAAGCTTGTAAGTTTCTTATGGGGATGAACCATGTGTAAATTATATTTGTATTTATTTTCACATGGTTGAACAAACCGCCAAGACTGGTTTTGGCATCACTTCAATATAAAATATTACCAGTGAATTTTCCACCGCTGAAAGTCATTGGAAAGCCGGATGCTCCCCCAGCAAAATCACTCATCATAAAAGCAACCTTTGCAGGCAGCCTGCCCCCATTGGGCCTGGTGCAGTCCACTGTATTGAGTATTTTGTGACCTGTGGAGTAAAAAAGCAGTATAGATATTCAAGGTAAAATCTCAACCACCATAGTTTGAATTCCCAAGCCAACAAAGACTTCTATGTATAGTCTCTATAATCTGACTTGTTTGATATAGAAGAATTGGTTATATCCAAGTAAAAACAAAAAGTAAGACTTCAAAATTTAAAGTCTTAAATAGCACATTCTCAGTTTTCAAGTGAACAAATTCATCCCACTTGACTGGTAGATTATGGGAGTCTCATGAAGATAACTAGCTTGACTGCGTTTGAGATCATAGATAGACCATGTTCTTTGTCCAGCTATTTCTAGATGTTGAGCCTAAAGGACCTAAGGAAGAGTGACTAGATGAACAGGAATCCCTCTATCTTCTGCAAGTTCTGTGCAAAGTTCATATTCGAATGATTAGTAGAGTTGTAAATCCATGTTCTCATATGAAAGGCAGAAGTGTTCAATTAGATTACCTGATGATTTTCAATACAAAAATAACTAAAGACATTTATTCAATAAATGTGGTTTTGAAGAATTTACTGTAAGAAATAGAAAATAACTATTGCCTGATGAACAAAAAAGCTTCACATTTGTCATTACATACATGACATAATTGGTAATATATTGTCTAGAAAGATTACCTGAGTGATTGTTTTTTAAAGACAAGGATATAATATTCTATATTATCAAATTTCAGAGCACTATTACTGGCTTTCCTACTCAGAGTATTTTCACATCTCCTTACTGAGGAGGATAAGAAAGTACCTTTGTACTCCACAATAATGCATGTGTCCATCTCGGGATGAACACCATCCATCAAGATCATGAATCGAAGATTTTTGTCTACCTGGAATTCAACAAGGAAAGCAACAACTGTGTATGTCATTTTGGTTCAATATTAAGAAGGTTGTCACTTCTGCAAAGACCTCAGATTTGAAAAATAAATCTCCTTTTTTAACTGTCTTAGAGGGTTATACTACTGGACAATGGAAAGAAACCCATGTTTTAACAAGGACATTTATGTCCAATATTTGAAGCTTAAATAAATATTTAATATTTAAATATTTACTCAGTATATGTACAGACATCAGCCACTTTCCCTCCTTAATTGTAAGGGGATTATCCCACCTAAAATTCACTTCAGAAAATATAACTGGAAAGTGTGGAAAGGAAACAGATTTCTGACCTGCTGCCATATTCCAAATGGAACTACATTTATATTAGTTAACTGGACACCACTCTGATTCAGATTCCAAAACACAGGTCTTTCTGTGTCCCCAACATAAACTGGAATATCTTGTCTTCTCTCTGAAAGCTTCTTTAGTGTTGGGTAACTAGGATTAGAATAGAAAATTTGAAAGATGAAAATCTAGTATTCTCTAGAACAGTTTGACTGAAAAGCAAGGAATTTTAGAAAATGGGACTCTCACCAGAGTTCTGACAAGAGTTTCTGCTCAAGGTTGAGTACAATGTTGAATGGTACTTCCTAGGAGATTCCTCTTTATTTTCTCTTTTTTAAAAAATGAATTTTATTGGTACATTTTAGACATACAATATAATGACATTCATCATTGGAAATTTGCACCTTTACATAATATATCTTGGTTCTTATTTGTTTCCCATTCCCCTGCCCTCCCTCCAACCCC